CACAGTTCAAGTTGCACTACAGTAAGAACTGCAGAAAGTTACCAAACATCAAACACATACCACCAAACACGAAGTTAAAAACCGTCAGAAGGTAAGGGCAGTCTGGATTTACAGAACAGCCAAGAAATTTTCAGACAAGAGATAAAACAGCAGTTCAGTGAATTAAAAAGACAGAAATAATTCCAGATGGCAACAAAGCTGTTCCCTCTGTTGCACCTGCCATGGTGGCAGGATGCAAGGCAGGTCAGAGAAGGTCGTTCTGCTGGAACTGAGCCGCAGGAGACAGAGTGGACAGGGACTGCTGGATTAATAAACAGCTCCTGTGGGGAAACCAAGCAAAGGCAGCTTCGAATTACCTCTGGTCGCAGATGGGCAAGTAAGTGAAGGGCTTGAACTGTTTGATTTTGTGGCAGTGTGAGGAACCAAACAGCTTCATTTTGTGTGTGCTAGAAACATGTTGCAGCAGGAGAAATTAACAGCGAATGCTGCAGGAAACTGTATCACACAGAAATATTTCTGAAAGGATTGGAAATGACACACTGGTGTGCGCAGGGCCAGTGAGAGGCCATTTTGGGAGAAAAGTGATTGATGTAAAAAGAAGAACATGAACAAGGAGGAAAAGAGAGATCCTAAAAGAAGTTACGAAGGTCAGATATAAGGATCTTTGCTCATTTTCTGATCAGAAAATAAAGCATAAAGTACTTATTTCTGATAGAAGAACACCGAAAAACTAGTGCAGTGCGCACTGGAAAAAGAAACAGCTCTTCCAGATACTTATATGCATGTCAAAAGCTTAGGGGTGACTTGCATGATGGGCTTATTTATAAATTTACCTGCATCATCAGTCCACAGTTCTAGACAGAGCTCATTTTGTACAGAATCAGACCCTGGCACACGAAGCAGAGGTACTCTGTTGATCACAGTGGACACACAAGGGTGAAACAGGTCCCAAGTGCTTCTCAAAGACAATCACTCTTCATTTTTAATCCAAATCCAAATCATCGGATGTTCAAGCTCAAAATTAAATAGCTTCCTAATAACATTTAAACAGTGAAAATGTTGTGTGCCTACGTAACCAACAAAGAAGAACTTCTAGCCTTTTTATAGATGAAAGAACTTCCCCACGGGGCTGAGAAGTGTCTGTCCAAGAACCAAAGTAATCACTTGAAAATTTGCAAGCTATTACAATTATTCAAAACAGAGCTGTTATGTTAACTCGGCAGTGCTGTTATTCACAAAAATGGCTAAAATATTCCAGCTACACTAACACATATGCTTTTCCCAAGCCTCCCCATACCATCTTCCATCTTCTAATACACCTTTGACACTGACATACATGCTTTCTTTTCGTAAAATAACTCCCTATGAGGTCTTGTTTTCTTTTCAAAGCATGACAGTGGAAAATACAAAATTCAAGTCACAGAGCTTCCTTCTAAAGATGGCTAATGGTAAAAAATTCCACCTGGTAACAGTTTCTTATTTAAGAGGAGCCAAGTTAGCTCTTCTGTGTCTAGCAGTCACTTTCCAGCTGATGTGCAGAGAACTTTATATGTCAAAATACAAATAAACAAAAAAAATTTAATCTGAAAACAAGAGATGCCAATCAGATGTTGTGCATTCCTTTTAAGGAACTACATTAGCACATTGGCACACATAGCAGCCAAGCTGGTGTCACTGTGAAAATAAATGGCACTGAGAATTGTGTTGCTTATAGTGCATCCTTGAGCAATAAGAGAACATGCTGAGGTCAGAAGTTTCATCTGCTCAAAGAAAGCAGGGACTTCTCCTAGGAAACAAAAGCCTGAAGAACAACTGTCGAAGTTATGCACTTAAGGGATATTCTGCGTGTTAAATTAATTAAGAAGAGTTTACCTACACTGTATGAAGGACAGACATGTCTCTAGCACAGACTGCTCATACGACACATCTTAGGCTAGCACCAATTTTGGTGGAGGGACTAGTTACTTGAGGAGGTAAATAGTCTTTTCCATGACAAATTATTATTATGGACTTCTCAGAGGCTTGGAATATTAACACCGGTGAAAAAAGGCAACATGTATCACACAGATTATTTGTACAAAACCTCAGACTGATATAAAATTAGATACATATTTACAGACTGTCAATAAGAAAGTTTATCGATCAGTAAGTGGATCAGTTCATGAGGAAATGCTGCCTACTCATGTCTATTTACTGCACTGCACATAACTCATATGTTCAATCCAGATAAGAAGAGCATACTGACAAAGCAGAGCAAACGGCTCTCCATACCTCACCTTTCAGCCTCAATCTGGTGGCACAAAGATTTAAGTTCTATAAGCGTGCCTTACCTACAAAAACCTGTTTCTTATCCTGATCAAAGAGGCACAGGTACTGAAAAAGCTACATTCTGCCAACTACTGAATGACATCCTCTCCCCAAACACCAAAATCCTCCATCTTTTTCTTAGCCAAAGTGTTGCAAGTTTAGCCAGGTAGATTCTTTACCACAAGAGGCAGTTTACAAACACTAGAAGACATACCCCTTGGCCTAAATATACCCTTTCAATATTCTAATTGTCATAGCAATAGAAGATTAAGCATGTGTGGCATTTTCTGGAAACTAAGGGACTATTTTATTTCCAAATAATGTATACTATTATTTCCTTCTAGTAGTATCACTTGAGGAAAATCTGCCACTTGCAGTGTAGGAGAACACAGACGCAGGCAACACAATGAAAGCAGAAAACCTCATGCTATAATGCATCATCCTCATACTTGGAAGAAACTCAAATAGAAAAGTTTCTGATGGACAAGGCTGGCACACATTATCTTACGGACCTCGGCCTCATCTACAGGGTTCTTGGAGTTAGGAAAACAAAAGTACCTGGCTTGAACTCTGAAGAAAGAAATTAGTAAAAGAACTCACTGAAATAATACCAGAATCCAGCACTGACTATGAAAGCATAATTGGTGCTAAACATTATAAATTTGTGCCTGCATAAGCCTGACGACTGACCAATAAAAAAGTGTGATTAATGTTTTTAAACATACTATGAACGGAACATTCCTTCAAAATATTGTTTACATACAGTTATGACAGAATACTGTGGGTTTTGTACCTCTCTTTACAACAGTTAAAATAATACAAGCATGTCTGCGCAAAGACAACACAGTATATCATCTCAGTTCCAAGGACTCCTACTAAACAATGAAAAATGTAGTGGCGATTTTTAATAAAACAATGTTTCTCCCTTGATACAGTGGAACACCCTCTGTACTGAAAAATTCATTCTAACATTTTCAAGTTAATTGTTTTCTTCAACATTTGCACTGGACCGACTTTTGGACTCTGGTTCCATAACTGAATTTCCTCCAGCTGAATTAAGGTCAAGAACAGTATTCATACTGTGCAAGGGAAGTTTAAATCCTGCTGGGGGAAAAAAAAAAAAAGGCAATATAAATAAAACGCTATTCACATGATATGGCAGTACTTGTATGAATACCTTAGTACTTACACATTATTTTCCAAAACAGTTAAAAATTCATGACTTAAAACTATGACAATTTGACATATGAGAGTTTGCATTTTACACATTCCTTGCATTAACTACTTGGACACTAGTTATATGTTAATAGTTATTATGCACACATACCATTAATGTTCAGCTGTGGACATGTGGGAGAAAACTTTCAAATATTAGGAATGTCTGAAAGGTTATTTCTTCTTAAAGGATGAAATCAATCCCATGTTAGCCTTTGTACTTAATCTTGTACATTTCCACACTGTATATTAAATATAATAATAAATCTAAATGTTAAAAGATAATATTTAAACTGCATTGATACCTATAGTCTGTGTGCCAGGCCCCCCAGTTGACAAATTCATAAGAAACATATTGCCACCCTCCCCATACGACTCTATTTGCCAAAGCTGGCATTTAAAAACAGAGACAGGCATATAAGAGGTTTGTGTCAATTTACACTAACAGAAGGACAAATTTCAAAGGTCTTAACACTATGCCACTCAAGTCATATAAGTTTTGCTGCTAATTTCACAAAAAGCAACCCTGTATTCATGGCCGTTACGTGAACAAAATCCTTCTCCCAATGCAAGGGATCAGTCTCTGCACTTAACAGCCTACAGAACTTGCCCACTGCTTAATGCTGTATTGGGATTAACTGGCCGCTGCAGGTTTGTTTTGTTTTGTTTGTTTGTTTTAATTTAAACATGTTAACAAGGTATTATTGTATTATTATTGCCAAGCTCTGAGAAACATCCACTCTCAAAAACTGCGGTCAGTTTTCACAATGAGGCTGTGAGAATGTAAAAGAGAGATCTTGGTGAGATAGATGCACCAATAACCATGCCCCATAATGCTTCCTTCGGTCAAGGAAGCCACTTAATGGTGATGCACATCAAAGGCAATTTTTTGTATCTAGAAGCAAGGAAGTTTGATCACGATGCCCTCAAACCAGGAAATGTCTCCAAAATATTTAACCTGAGAAGCCACCATGAATCAGAAACAGACTCATTTCTTATCATAGCCAGTATTCAGTAAGAGCATTCTGCAGTTTGCGGGTTAATGAAAAGTTATTAACCAAAAGATTTTTACAGCTCCAACATAGGTTGATGTATCAGTTGAGGACGCTGGATTCCCATGCCTAAGAGGGACATAATTTTATACAGGATATATTCGGTCAACAGAAAAAAACCAATGTAGCAAGTAAAGTGCTAGACACAGCTTGTCTAAACTATAAGAAACTACGACATATACTTTTAGAAGGGCACACCTGTGTTTAAATGAAACTACAGAAAACATCTTCTAGCAAATAGTAGCTGCAAATACATTGTCTTAATGTCTTTAACATCAAAAAAATTCCTGTAACATGAGCGGCTAATACACAAAAACTTGCAAGAAGTGAACATTTCTCATGAGAAGCTTAAAAGGTATTAAAGCTTCTGCATCTCTCTAACGTCATTCCCGTTAGACACCTCAGAGAGGACGAGCTGCTGGTAAAGAGGTCTAGCAAAACGAGGTGCTCCCTCAAACCAGAGATCATCTGAATCAATTACTGGCTTGCATTCTAAGATGTATTTTGCCTAAGTCTACAGCTATAGTTAACCAAAAAAAAAAAAAAAGCTGAGAGAGCAGGAAAGAAAGAGTTCATAGCCTGAGCACCATCACCTGCCATTTCTCATCTTATTTGAATTTGTGTTGAGATCGAACGTTTCCTGACGGCGACAAGGCACGAAGCCGCGTAGTGCCGCAGCCTGCCTCCGCTCCCGGCAGCCGCAGCCCTGCGCCCGGCCGCGCTCCGACCCACCGAGACGCATAAGTTTACGAGGAAACGGGAGGTATGTGGCATTTCGGAGCTACGCGAGGTCTGCTAATCGGGCTGTTACGCCGGTCTGGCGGTGCAGGAACAGGCTCCCTTCCCACTCTGGCTCCAGGTACAGCTCCCGCCGCCTCCCAGCCGGGCACAGCACGGCGCCGCCGGAGCTGCGTCCCGCGGGAGCCTCTCCCCGCACCTGCCCCGCACGGCAGCGCGGAAAGGGACAGCCACGGAGCACCGCGGAAGGGACAGCCACGGAGCACCGCGGTAAGGGACAGCCACGGAGCCCCACGGCAGCACGGCAGGGGCGCGCCGCCTGCCCAGCGGTGTGCGCGGAGCACTGAACCGCGCCGAGCGCGTCGCTCTCCCGGCCGTGGGAAGGGCAGCCGGGAGCACCTACCGGGAATGGCCAGGTTGGTGAGCGGGGTGCTGTGGAGGCTGCCGGGCAGCGCTGCCATCCAGTCGGCGAAGAGCAGCTCGTTCTTCCCTTGCGATGAAGCCATGCTGCTGCTGCTGCCGCCGCCGCCGCCGCTCGTTCCAACTCGCGCGGCTCCGGTCCCGGCCCCAGCCCCGCCGAGCCCGGGCCCCGCCCGCCCGGCACCGCCTCCCCCCGCCCCGCCGAGCCCCCGCCGCCTCCCCGCGGCGCGGCCGCAGCGCCCTGCGGGCCGGCACCGCCGGGGCGCGGCGGGCGAAGCTGCCCCCGCTACCACGGAGGGAGCGGTGTCACGGCCCAGCCCCGGCGGGTCCGCACCGGGCATCCGCCGGCCCGCAGCGCTCCGGCCCCGTCGCGCCCGCCCCGGGCCGGGCGGCGGCAGCAGAGCCCGACCGGGCGTCGGGGCCCGGGATGGCGTTCGGGGCCCCGGCGGTGCCGCCCTGCGTGGCCCTGGAACTCTGCGGCATATCCCTGACCTCGGCCGTGGGTCGGCTGAGTGCCCCGTGGGGGGACCCGACACCCTGCACAGCCTCGGCTGCCTGTGCTGTGAACGTCTGCTTTTGCAGCAGGTTATTCACATTAAAAAAAAAACAAAACAACAGTACACCTTAGTTGAACACTCCCGGGAGATCTAATTTTTTTTGCAATAATTTTTTATTTTCCTTTTGAGGATGATCCAAAGTACTATCTTCTATTCTCATTTCTAACCTGTCTTTGGAGAAGCGTTTTAATGTTGGCATAACAAAGCAGATCTGGCTGCCTCCAGATCCATGAATGAATGAACCTGGCAAAGCTCTGTGAACCATTTTGAACTGTTACAAGAAGCCTGGTCTTTTTGACTTCAATGTGTCTGAAAACTTCCGTTTTTCATCAGAGGTGCTGACACGTGTGTAGAAGTTCATATGGTAGATTGTGGGAAACCAAACAGGTGTTTGTTCAGGCTGTAGGTGTTGGCAGTAGATCTGTCAAAACCAGTACCTGGACAGAACCATGACTGAGACAGGTTCAGTTTATCAGTTCACCTTGACGTGAACAATTCCTAGGAGGGTCAGCTCTGGTCCTGTATCCTCTGGTCCTTGTGTTCTCACTTAATGGCTTCTATAACAACTGGCTTTGAAAATAAAATTTCAGGGAACAACTAATAATTCACCTTTCTCTTTCTGTCTAAGTTTCCAGAGCAAGTATAATGAGAAACTCTTCCTTCAACCACAAAATAAAGGAACAATTTCTTGGAAAGCGAGTGACTACTTATGAGGTATTTAAATAAAGGAAATTTTGCTGACTCACTTTTTGCAACAGAAATAGCTCTTAAGGTGGGGTTTGCTTGGGAAATGTGATCAGATGGTTGACCTTGGGGGAGATGCTGAATCTGATTTGAGCAATACCTGAAAAACGGGAAGGAGAAAACAAGCAGCCACCAAGGCCATTAAAGTTTTTGGAATATTGCATCCTGCTTATTAAGATGCTAATCTGCTCCTTCCAAAATCACTGGTATTAGCAAGCATGATAAAAAAAAGACAAACCCACACTTTGGACAGAGGACATAAATCCCACGAATGACTTAAAGGTGGAAGATATTACTTTACATCATCTTCAAAGAACAGGAAGAAATTATAGTTAAAAAAATTAAGATTTCTAAGGAGCATTCCAGTAAGGAGCAATGAATGTTTTTATCAACATGACTGAATCAAATCAGTTTAAGGGGCAAGGTTATGCATGAATTGCACTGTTTACCTGGAAAACTGCTGCTGAATTTTTATCCTATCCAAAACATGTTCTCCTTTTTCTGAGAAAAAAATGAAGTATACATCTTTTTGAAAGGTTAAACATGTTGTTATTACTGTTGTTGATCTCTTCTGGTCTCTGAAGCTTTGGGTATAGCTCAGAGCAACATAAAACAAATACCTGCAAACCTATGTAATTTTAAAAGGTATTAATATGTATAATAATGCCTAAAACTACCTCTCAGTAATGCTTTCTACTCTACTGGAGAACTGTTTATATCCCTCTGTGCTGAGAAGAAACTTGTTGGCATTTCCCTCTGCAAGTAATTAGAGCTTTTGTATCTTTTTTTTTTTTTTTTTTTTGATGCCCAAAGTAAGATTCTTCATAGTCTGGATTTTCAAACCATGAATCCTCTGCTTTGTGAAAACCAGTCCATTCTAACATGTGTCACACAAATTGTGTTTGAAAAGGTTTGCCTCTGTTTCTAATGCAATGTAACTGCTAAGATAGCAGGCTTAAAATCTATCATTGAGTCTCTATGAACTTGGGGAAACACAGGCTTGAATAGTTTGGAGAGAAACGGGATAGGAAAGGAAGCTTTTATGGCCCAGGAAGTCAGAAACATTTATACAGCAACCTAAGAAACAGTGACTTGGAAGCTTTGACTTTAAAGAAAAAAGTAGTTTTTGGAGCCTTTCAGTGGTTTGAGACTTCAGAATTTCTCTGTGTATCTGCTTGGGAAGAGTTTAATTAAAAAAACCCTAAAATATTCTTTTATCATGATTGAAGGGCTGCATACTGTGGTTTAGCTTGAACCTGTTATTTTACTAATTTTAACTGATTTATGAAAAATGGCAACCTGTAAATCAAAATCAGAGTATCCATACAAACTTTTGTTCTTATTTAAAAAAATTAAAACCCACATTTTTGGTCAAATTACTGAAATCCTTACACATAACAAGTCTGAACTGTGAAAGAAAGTAGATCCCAGGAATCAAATACTTTAAAAGCTTAGGAGGTACCAGGTACAATGAAAATGAAAGGCAGTGCCAAGGTACAGAAAAATACCATCTTTGCTCTTTTATTCACAGCTAAGCTGAGCTCACTGAAGATGCCATGAAGTGAAGGAAAATTGAAATTGTGCTGCCTGTTCATCATGTATTGTGTTCTCTCCAGTCTGCAGCTATAACAGTATGGATGAATAGAGGCACCTCTGCTTCCACGGAACAGCAAAACAGAGTAATTTAGCCAGTAGAAATGTCACTTCAGCACTCAAAATTAATTACACTGTTAAAAAAGACTTTCCATTGTTTTTATTCCCCTAAAAACCCCAGCATTTTAATGGTAAGCATTCACTGTTACACTTTCTCATTTTAACAGTCAGATACTTTGCCTCTCCGTAAGTCCTTGGCATCTATTTTAATCATGTGAATAACAAAGGAGTAGCAGGATCTTTTTCTGTAAATTACATAAAATACATTCAACTCTGAAAGGTAAAAGAAAAAATTACTTAATGTCATTTACAGACTTAATTACTTTCTGTAATTTTCCTTCTATATCTGATTTATTTACTCTAAATCTATTGTTACTGAATTCAAAATGAGGTTTTGAACAGAAGAATTACTGTTATTTAAATATTTTAACTTTTACAGTGGATTCTGCTCCTGAGGTTTGGTTTCTTCCTCCTTCTTACAGCCCATTTCTATTAATAGAAGTTTTTCAGAACAAATCCTGGCTGCCATCCCGTGTTTGCAGCTCCCATGACTTTAAATGACTCCATCAGTTACGCTGGGGGTCTAAAGCCATTCCAGTTGTTTGCAGCTCAGTTCCCAATTATATTCTTGTTACTTGAGAATGCAGTGGATCTGCAATATTCTCAATTTTGTTACTTTTCATGGCTAACAGTTATGAAAAGTAATTTTTATTTATATGACAAGCACATAAAACCTCAAAGACTCAAAGTAAGTAGACTGATTGAATGAGATAATTTTTTAAATGACCATGTCATTTAAAGCGGTGACAAGTATTTCGTTGTCATTTCATACCTCATCTGGCTACTTTGACAAGCTCACTTTGCATTCATTAAGCAATTTCTGTTTAGCAGTATTCGTCCTGTCAAAACAGCTTACAAAATTTCTCAGTAGTGAGAAAAAAAGCCTTGTAGAAACAGGGAAATAGTATTTTCTCGTTTATGGGAAAGAATAAGTCTGTTTCAGTTTTACAAGCAAAAGAAAATTTAGTTTATTCTGTACTCTGATTTATTATTCTCTACTAAGAAAATCTAAGCATCCTTGCTGGTGCCAATAATGAATCTGAGAAGAAACAATATTTGTTCTGAGCAGCTGACAAATGTAAGGATGATGTTAGTGTTATCCCCACTCTCTTGAGGTAAATTGCAGAGGCTGTGAACACGATGGGTTAATATAAAGATCCAAGGCATGTTTTTACTTGCATACTTTATAAAGAAAGCAGAGACATTACAAAAATATACAAAGAATAAAATAATTAGAGTGTATGACAAGACAGTTTGTTATAGTTAACCAAATTCTGGAAACTTGAAATAAAGAGGATAAAAGAGAAATCATTGTATTTGTATCCAGTCCTCAGGTGGAAATCAATTTCACCCTAGCTACTCCTTTCTAAAGAGTACTTTTCAGGTTTCTAGAAAAAGGTTTTGTCTTTTTCTTTTCTAACTTTGTCATGCAGAGTCCTATTGTGTCTCACCTAATATGTTTGCTTAAAGACACATCAGTGGCTACTTTTTTACCTGGCTGAAACCAAACAAGTTTGGTTATGTTGGCATTACTGCAAAGACTCACTGAGAGCAGCGATAGCAGAACATGAAAAATCCTATTTTCTTATAGCCAGTGCTGTAAGATCACAGCAAAGTATGCAAATTTGGTACAGGGAGAGAGAGATTGGCTTTTATTTCTAAACCAACCTGACAATGTTTAAAAGTTTTCTATAGAAGCTCATGAACATTTTGTCATTAACAAGTTTCTCTGTAACTTGAAGGACCCATGTTCAGCTTGGTTAAGAACTTGCAGAGAAAGCTTGATTCAAGCATTTGAATTTGACCTCATTCTCAAGGTAGAAAACCATTGTTTTTTTAAAAAAAAAGAGCTAAATGAGTTTCGTGGTGGAGTTAGCACAGACAAAGCAGAAGGAAGCTCTACAAGGATTATGAAGTGCTGATCATAATCCTTGTAGCCTCCCAATGTACTGTTGACACGGTCACAAAAGACTTTATCAATATGAAAGTATTTTGTTAAAAAAAAAAAAGACTTGAAAGCCTCAAACCAACCTTTTCCCAGCAGTATCAAAAAAAATGAGAAGTTTTCTAGGCAGTCAGATATTCCCATGACTCTAGTTTTGGCAGAAAACACAGCCCTTTGTCTGAACAGAAAATTTTGACCAGTCTAACTAAAATCTTCTTTAAAAAGTAATAGCAGATAAGACATTTCAGAAGGTTGTATGGGTGCTGAGTTACAACCTTTGGGGTTGTAACTAGCACAGACAAATTAGGAATGTTCAAGGCAGGGTAAAAACTGTTAAAAAAGCTGTTTAAAAAAAATGTTAAAAATGCAAGAGAGAACCAAGCAAAATAAAAAAGCTATTTTCATAGACTATACATTATGTTATCACATTTTTGTAAGAAAAGACAAGGTCATACGCAGAAAAAAACAGTGAAAGGAGCAGGAATGAAATGGATGAGATAATCAGAAGTGGACAGTGCTTGCAGGATTTTACAGGAGACCACCAGAAACGTATGTGTAAGCCATTTAGGATGCAGTTCAGACCTGCCATGCACTGTATTTAGAAACTGAGGGAGAAAAGGAAAATAATATTAAAGTACTTTTTAATTTGTCACAGTAGGGAAATTAATTGCTATAAAAAAGAAACTCTCAGATTTTACCTGATTTTACTGTTTCTTTACCATCAAGATATTTAGAATGACATTTTGTAATTGATCTTGGCTGCGACTGAGCAGCACATACGCACTATGTAGTTCCCAATTCTTTGCTGTATGATCAGTCAAACATCAGTCAAACCATTCATGTCCTGTTATTTAAAAAAGGCTAGAAGAAATGGGAACTGCACTAAATGAGAAAATAATGAAAGCAAATGAATGTATAATGACTGCGTAAGCAATGAATATTAGGCAGTAATTAAGTATTTTTATTTCTGTGCCTGTTGGAGAATAGTTCAAAATCAGTGAAAATAATGAAAAAATAGTATCAGTTGGTTAATAGCTAATGCATCTACCATGCTATATATCCTAAGTCACTGGAGATGAGAAGTCTTTTTTATTTTTAAATAGAAAAGATGGTGGATGACACAGAGACTTCCCAACAGGAGCTGCAGAGTGTTAACAGTGGTCAGTTCTACTCTTGGCAACTGGAGTCATGTTTCATGAAAGATGCATGCCTGCATCCTGGATGAGGCTTTCCAAACAAGCTCTTGCTGTTTGCATGGTAATGAAGCATTCCCAAAAGGTGTTGAAAATAGTCAGCAGGACTAATGAGATTTTAGCACAAGGCTCAAATCAGTATGCCAGTCACATTTCACAGGCTGCAGTCAATGCCAGCTGCAGGGATGAGAGGTCATGTTCCTTTTCAATTACACCCCCTTCATGATAGGCGTGAGCAGTGCAGTGTTTCCAGTTTGGCATTTGCAGGTTGGATAGTACAGGTGCAGGGGTGTCTCAACCCCAAAGAAAAATGTGGTACATCTGGCTTCTGTAGGGGAAGAGGTAGGAAGAGGGTGGCAGGGACACTAAAGAAAGAAATGACAAGTATGTATGAGAAGTCAGTGGCAGCATTGTCCCACTCCACTTCGTGATGTGAAGGAATGCTACGTGGTCATTACTCAAAGGTAACATCCTGTGCAAAAACATAAAACTTCTTACTTGAAACTGGGGATTTTTATTCTTCTAGCTGAAGAAAGTAAGGTAAGAAAGAACAAATCATGTAACAAGAGAAGGGAAAAAGTGAGCAGTAACAAAGAAAGGAAAAGAATCCCCCAAAGGATGGAGAAATTTGATATCCAAAGGTGGGGGTATCACCAAGAGTTTAGACACCAAGTTCTGGGGTTTATCTCTGCCCCTGGACGTCCATCCTCTGGGGCAATGAGGTGAAGGAGATGGTCTTGTTTTTCCTTCAGAAAGCGTCTCTTCTAATGCCATTTAACTCTGGTTCCTCTGGACTCATCTCCACGTCTCTGTGCTTTGAATTGCTTCCTCACCCTTGGCCTTCATCAAATTAAATTATGCACAAGAGGTCATCTGTTGTAATTTTTAAGGGCAGAAGGGTTTCTCACCGAAAGTGGAGTCTAAATTCCAAGTCTCACTTGCAAATCCAGAGTATGACTAAAACAAAGCCCCAGTGCGTCCCACAACAGTGCTGGGCAGCTCCTTTTCTTTACCCATCAACTGAACTCAGCATACCATCACTTTGCCTTAAAACATGTCTGATCTTTTAGTTGTTCCGGGTTTTTTTCAGATACTCAGGCTTTTTCTAGATTTTTTCAGATACTCAGTTTTTTTCTACAGTTCTTTTTGGGCAATAAACAATCCATTAAAGAAATAAATGTTCTCTCTCCTTTCAACAAACCAGCTGCTTTCAGTGTGTGTTGTTGCAAGGGCTGGACGGGTCAGAGCATGACTGTGCTATAATGTGCAGTGTCTGCTCTTCTTCATGTTGGCTCCAGGCCCTGTGAAGTCAGTGGGGGCTCAACCAGACAAGACAATGAAAAGTGAAAGACTTCTGCAGGAATCTGCACACAGACATACAGACTTCAATAATATATTCTTTCTCAAGGGGGTGAAGCAACAGATTTCCATTTTCTACTGTTGTGAAAAACAGAAACTTAATTCAGCCATCGTGCATGCTGTTTTCTTTCACCTAGGGGGAGTTCCAAGGTCTTTTCCTTGTGGTAATTAACAGCTTTGCAACCCCACAGTGCCTGCAAAGGCACTATGAAACAAAGGCAGCTCAGGGAGACTTGGAGAAGAGGAATAACGTGGAGAGGAAAGCCCCATGTTCAGTTTCATCTCTCTCTGGACAAATGAAATGACCTTTCTGAGCAGAGCACAGTGGCAGAATATAACAAAGTATTCATTATTACACTTAATTAATGTAATTTTAAGTGCTGGGTTCAATTTGAAGACAGGATTCTTCATGAGTTGAAGTGTGGTACAGTTCTGTGTAAATCAGCAGATTTTTACAAGAGTACATATGTAAGAATGTCAAAATCATACAATTCATATTTATGAATAGAAGAAAATGTACGTGGATTCTAGGCATAAGTGTTTTGTTTGAAATCTCTGTGTGGAAATGATTCAGCAGCAGCTAAATTGTAAAGGTAGAACGCTAAAGTCTCCTCGCTGTTATGTTAAGCTTATGCCATCTGAGAAATAGGAGCACTGATGTGCTATTCCACAAGCCATATGAAATGAAAGAGACAGCAAAACTCTGTCCCATTTTTAGAATTCAGTTTTTGGAAGAATTTTCCACTGCTGAAAGGGAAGTAGCAGTGGGAGGTTTGTGAATGGTCTAGATGATAAACAACTTGAATCACACACAGAATGAGGAGTCACAGTGGTTAAAATCCTCACCCCTTTGAAGCTGACAGGAGATTCGGCAGCCAAACGCAAGAGAGCCAGCCTCCACAAGCGCTGGTTTGGCCTTCCCTGCAACGTTGCAAGAGCTTTGCAAATCGTTCTGTTGGCAAAACAAAGTGAGTGTTGTGGAAAGAGAAGGAAAAACAGGAGCTATTTGTTCCATTGCAAATGACAGTCAGAAATGCTTACTGGTCTCCTGCATCATTATTCTTCCCTGGAACCAAACTTTGGATCTCAGGTGGAAAATTTTCTTGATGTGTGGAGACAGATATATTTAATCCATGAAACTAAAGGCAAACTTTGAAAGCAAAGTGCCTCCAGGAAGAGTAAAGCCAAGAAGAGCTTTGAGAAATATGGTTCATGCACCCACACTTGCAGTCGGAAGTCAGGCTGGGACATGGTTCACCACTCACACTAGAGGGATTTCAACACTGAGAGAATAATACCTACTAGTCACCACCACAACTCTCTTTTCCAACACTTCTTACTAGAAGATATTCTAGAATTTCTCCTTATTGGGAGAAGCTGTTTGACCAACTTCTAGTAAATTAGAGAAGTTCAGCTGAAACTGGTTTGAAGTGCCACCTTCTTTTTGCTGCACAAAGAGAAGCCCTAGGACAATGAAGAAGAGTAATTAAGAAAAATATGAGAGCAAAGGATTTCAGAAGTTGTGTGTGTGCCAGCGGTGGATAAATGGTTTGCTGATTGAGGTATAATAAAAAAAATCGACACAAAAGTATATTGGTATAATCTGAATGTCCTTTTACTGTGCACCCAGTACTTGAAAAAAGGAAGTATTGCTAGATACAGAAGGAACTTCTGGCATTTCATGTACACACATTAAAAAATATTTGAAAACATTAGTATGAAAAGGCAATGAATCTCTCTGCTAAAGCTGTCTGTGTCTGTGAGAGATAAGAGGTCAGGAGGAAGGAGAAAGAACAGTAATTTCTTTTAAATTATTCTTGTAATCCATTTACTTACAGCACAGCACCTACAAAACACCTTGCAATGGCTGAGCAGACGCTCTGGTAGAATGACATACCCTCACTGTTTCCTCACTTTTTCATTTTCTTGCAATATACTTTCTTTACTAAAGTAGTGAATTCTTCTGCTCGGGTGTTGTTCACAGTGCCATGCTAATAAGGACCTCTACTCATCAATGCAATAGAAATTAATAACATTAGGAATTATTAGCATAGTAGTATTCATATGGTTAAACATGCATGTGAAATCCTTGGTGGGCTTTTGCTTTGGAATTTCTACAGCTCATCACAGTGTTCCCAGAGTCACAAAGTCCCTTGTGGTAGAAAAAGCTGCAGGACCCACCACTTCCACTGGCCATCACCAGGACCAGCCATTCCATGCCACCAGCCTTGTCCTACATCAGAGGAGAGGAATTATTGGGAAAGATTTGTAATTTTTACAGCTTTGTTCTGCCTAAAGGAAGATATTCTGGTCAAGTCTATGAGGCTCAGCTTTGTTTCCTGAATTTTGAAAGCAAAACTTCTCAGGAGGATAAACAATGGGCATTTAAGCTAGAGTCTTAAAAGGGAATAAATGTTGCTTGTGTTATGTCTCATAAAGCTTGAGAAGTGTAAGATGCATCTCAAAAGTTAAGAGGAAGACTAAGGGACAGTCAGTGAGGCTCACAACAACAGTGGGGACAGCAGAGGTGGCTACAGTAAGTTCTGGGGGCTGAGTATGAGACCAAACTGGGCAGGGGGTCCCTGGACTCAGGGACACCAAGCAAGGGTCTAGAGGAGAAGTCATACTAGGAACAGCTGAAGTCACTTGTTCAGCCTGGAGAAGCCCTCACAGCTGTCTGCAGCTTCCTGGTGAGGGTCAGTGGAGTGGCAGGCACTGATCTCTTGTCTCCGGTGACCAGTGACGGGACTCTAGGGAACAGCATGAATCTGAGTCAGGGGAGGTTTATGTTGGATAGTAGGAAAAGGTTCTTCACCTAGAGGGTAGTTGGGCACTGGAACACACTCCCCAGGTAAGTGGCCACAGCACCAAGCCTGGGAGAGTTCAAGAAGCGTTTGGACAACGCTCTCAGGCACATGGTGTGACTCTTGGGGTGTCCTGAGCAGGGCCAGGAGACGGACTTAATGGTCTTTGTGGGTCCCTTCCAGCTCAGGAGAGTCTGTGATTCTGTGATTCAGTGAAGAGCTGAGTGTCCCGCAGGAACCGACAGCTCTGGCAGGCGGGACTGATGTGCCCGGGGCGTTGCCAGGGGCAACCGCGGCAGATTCCGGTGACGCCGGAATCTTCCGTCGGCGAGGCGAGCGGCGACAGCGATGGCGGTACGGTCAGGTCTGGGGGCTGAGTTGTAGAACGAGCTGAGGGTTCCCCGGGTCAGAGACACCCGGGCGGGAGCTGAGAAACTCGCCAGGAACACGCGCTGTCGGGGCGAGTGTGATCCCAGGGGGAAGCGCGGGAAGTGCTAAGTGGCTCCAGGAGCGCGCGGGCGTATAATCAGGATATAATCAGTATATAACCAGGATGCGGGGCGGCAGGGAGGGACACTGAATCCTCACCGGGGAGGAACCAGGAGAAGCACGCTTCTGTAACAAAAATGGTGTAACAAAAATGGCAGAGATCCCTGCCTGCAGGGAACCCCAGAATCTGGAAGCCCCCCGAAGGCAGATGTGGGTGTCACGCGTGCAGGTGTGCCCAGACGGATAAGTGTTCGGAGCAGGTTGCTGTGTTGTATTAGGAGCTAACCAAGCAAAGTTCTATGTGGGAATCTGAGTGGGAGATTCGTTGTTTTGTGTACTCACAGGCAGAGCGACAGGCCTGCCTTAAGTCCTTGGAAGTGGAAAGTAAGTTACTGTTCAAGCCTAAGCTGGCAGGCCTGACCGACTCACAAGGCAGGTGAGACTAGACTCTCGCCTCTGCTTGGAGTAGAAGGACAAGTGACCCCCTTGCTACCCATGTGCCCCTACATAACAGATATGATGCTCTGGGACTGGAAGGAGAGGACTCTGCAACAAGTAGTCAAGACCAAGAAAAGGGCAGTGCTACAAAGTAGGAACAATCAACCACCCATGTTAGAACAAGTGCCACCAAAAAAAGCACAAAGGGTGTTAGTTGTTGAAGACTTCTCCCTGAGGGGCACAGAACCAGCTATTTGCCATCTGGATCACCTCTCTAGAGACATTTGCTGCCTACCAGGGACCCGCATGCATGATAGCACAAAGTGGCTACCAAGCCTTGTAAAAACAGAGGACTAACATCCACTACTACTATTTTGTGTAAGGTCAAATTAGGCTGCAACAAGGCGATTGAGAAATATTAAAGGGGACTTAATGTCTCTTGGAAAGAAGTTGAAAGGGTCAGGAACACAAGTAATATTGTCCTCTGCCCTTCCAGCTGGAGACTGGGACCCAGCACGAAGGAGAAAATGGATAAGATGAATGACTGCCTGCATGGCTGCTGCTATGCTCAGGGTTTTCGGTTCTGTGATGTGGGATGCACCTTCAAGAGCCTGGGCATGTTGACACCAGGTGGGGTGCACCTGACCAAGTGGGTTAAGAGTGTTCTGGGACTGACAGAACTTATTAGCTGGATTTGATAGGGGAAAGGGGTGTTCTGAACGTCAGAGAAAACAGGAACCAACACCTTAGGAAGCACTGTAAGTCATCCCAAAGGAATCAGAGAGGCCTTCTACCATAAGGTGAAGAAGTTGACAGCCCAGCTGAAGTGCCTCTACACCAATGCATGCAACATGGGTAACAAGCAATTAGTTGAAAACCATGATGCAGTTAGAAAACTATGACCTAATTGCTATCATGGAAGCATGGTGGGACAACTGGAACACTGCAGCTGAGTGTTGCACTCTGTGTTAAGGAAAGGGTTAGATTTTGAAGAGCTGTGTTTGAGAAACAGTCACAGACAGGTTGAGAGCCTGAGGTGAAAATCAAGGACAGGACAAACAAAGGACACCTGGAGGTGGAGGTGACTATAGGCTGCCTGATCGGGGAGCCTGTTGACGAGGCCACCTTGGTTCGGCTACAGGACACAGCTTGCTCACAAGCTCCCATCCTGATGAGGGATTTCAACCACCTGGGCATCCGCTGGGAAAGCAATGCAGCTGGTTATAAGCAATCCAGGACACTCCTGGATAGCTTCCTGGTCTAGGTGTGGGGCAGACCAACTGAGGAGAAGCATTACTGGGCCTGGGGCTTGGTGCTCATTGATGTAGATGAGCTCATCAGAGGAGTTAAGTCTGGAGGCAGCCCAGGCTGTAATGACCATGCCTTGGTGAAGTTTGTAATCTCCAGGAGCATAGGCCTAGCAAGGAAAAAAATCAGAATCCTGAAGGTTGGAAGAGCAAATTTAAATATGTTTAAGGACTGGGTGAATTAGATCCCTTGGGAAACTGTCCTTAAGGACAGAGGGACTGACCAAATCTGGCAAGTCTTAAAGGCCACTTTCATTAGAGCACAAGAACTTTCCCTCACAATGTATAGGACATACACAAGGCAGGCCAGAAGCGAGCATGGCTGAGCAAAGGTCTGCTCCTCAAACTGAGAAGAAAGAGGGAAATGCACAGCTGGTGGAAGCAGGGACAGGTGACCGGGGGAGTGTACTGGGATACAGTTCAGACATGTAGGGACAGGGTAAAGGAAGCCAAGGCACAGATGGAACTAGACATGGCCAGCGATGCAAAGAATAACAAGAAGAGGTTCTGTAAGGACATAGATCAGAAGACAAAGGCCAAGAAGATAAAGGACCCATATAAATGAGAAAGGAGAACTGTTAACAACAGATATGGAGAAGGCTGAGGTACTCAATGAGTTCTTCACCTCAGTTGTCACTGGCTGGGAGTCAGGCTTCCCACATCTTTCAAGTTCCCGAAACCTTTAGGTGGGAGTCAGAGGAGTGAAGTCCCTCCCACTCTAAAGAAAGGGCAGGTTCTGGACCCCTTGATGAAACTGAACAACCGCAAGTCTATGGGGCCTGACAACATGCATTCCAGGGTCCTGAGGCAACTGAGCTCTGTCGTTGCCAAACTGTTCTCCATCGTATGTCAAAAGTCATGGCAGTGAGGCCACGTCCTTGGTGATTAGAAAAAGGGAAACATCACTTCTATTTTTAAAAAGGGAAGCAGGGAAGACTTGGGGAATTACAGACCAGTTAGCCTGACCTCTGTGCCTGGGTAGATAATGTTGCAGATCCTCATGCAAGCAATGCTAAATCACATACAAGACAAGGAGGTGATCCAGGATAGACAGCATGGCTTTACAAAGGCAGATCAGTCTGGATGATGGAGTGACTGCAGCAGTCAATAATTCACAACCAATGCAATTTGATGCGTTTCAGTGCTGTGAGTGAGCAAGTGAGCAGCTTGATCCTGATCAGAATTCCTAATCCTTAATGTTCTGTGGCAGTCCTAGTTATGGACTGACACAAGGAGTGTACAGTCAGAGGATGACTGTAGTTCAATATAAAAATTGAGTAGTTTGTCTTGGTCCAGTAATTTTTCAAATCGCCTCTGTCATTTGAGAAAGCTCCTCTTTGCACCAGTCTTACTTGAAAGTAATAGTGTTCTTGGTCCACCATTGTTTTTAAATGTCTTTGGTAGTCTTTGGATGAGGTCTGAAGAGTCTGAAGCATGTACTCCCATTGTGGGCATTTAAAGGTCAGGCTGTTTACAGAGCATACCATGGGAACAAATTTCTCTATAAAGGCTTTGGGGACAGTTTTTAAAGTCTGTAAGGAGAAAGAAGAAGAAAATAGGCTTCTCAGAGGCTTGCTACCAGTGTTAGTTTTGGATTGGCATCATAGGCAGTCTCTGTGATTCAGCAGAGTGATTGTAAACCATCTTCAGTTATCACTGCCACCTTGTGAGAAGAGTGGTAAGATGAGAAGTTATTCTGGGGGATATTTGGAGTAAAGTGTGAAAAAATGGATGATGTGGAGGGACAAGATGTTATCTAATATAATAACCCACTTGTGTTGTTGGTACCAGGGCAGAAAGGATTTTTCTCCTTTCATCTTCAGTTATCATAGTGTGGAAATGCAATATAGGGAGAAAAGGCACATCCATACAAAATGTTAAGTACAAGCTTTTATAGATGAGTGTAACATAGAACAGGATGAGAAAAGCAACACTAAAGCTTCTAGCCTGTTATACTCATGACCTTCAGCAGCCTTGAAGGGTCTTTTTAGATTTTCAGGTGCATTTTCGGATGCTTGGCCCCAAGCTTGGTTGGATTTGAATTTATTTTTGAAATTACTAGTAGAAGTTTTGGTGTGAAGCGTTCTAATTCATGGCACTAATAGCAGGGCAAACAGTAGTACCGTTCTTGGTAGGGTGTTCTACCTGCCCCTGTGACCATCAGGACTGTGGGATGTCCGCCGGGATCGGCTCCTTGTTGCCTGGGGCTCCCGCGAGGAAACCTGGTGTCTCTGTTGATGCCGGTCACTCCTCCTCAAGCGGACTGGGGCATCCTGTTCAGGCCTTTCAGCGTGGTCCTCATCACTAGAGGTGTCAGTAGATGTGTCTTCAGCCCAACTCTGCTGCTGGCTCCTGCTGCTCGAGGAGTCGTAGTCCTGGGCGTGCTGACCCCTGCTGTGGCTCCTGTGGTGCCGCCTCGGGGACCTGCTTCGTTCCCTCTCTCGGGTCCTGGCGCGGCCAGTGCCACGCTCCCTGCTGGAAGAGCTGCGCTGCTGGCGGCCTGTGAAGCGGTTCCGCCTCCTTCCTGCAGAGCCGCGACGAGCTCTCTGTGCTCGATTAGGCCTGACAAAGCTGATGTAGTGCCCTATGGAGTACACCTCATAATTATTGTCTCCCACCTTGCGGAGGAGGTATTGGAAGGGCTCCCTGCAGATCGGGCACACAGCTGTGTTGCGGGACCATTGCAGTATGCAAGGAAAGCAAAAAGAGTGGCTGCACCAGCTCACAGAGACTTGGTCCTTAATGGTGTCCAGGCAGATCGGGCACATTAGGTTCTCTGTGTCACGTGGAGGCACAGCCTGGGGCACCTGGTTGGTGCTGGCAGCAGGGGAAGAGGTGCCATCTCCTGGTGAGACCTCCTCTGCCATCTGGCTCTGCAAACCAAAGAGACACAAAGCTCCTGACCTGCCCTGGAGACACAATCCAGAGATGCAGTCTGCAGAAAGCAGCCAAGCTGCCCCAGTCGAGCGCTAAACAGCTCCCGCTCGACCTCGGGGCTGTGCTTGGGGTGCTACCAGTACCAAGGACTATCCTGAGGCAGATGAGTGACACCAGAGGTGTCTTTGCATGTGACAGGTCTTGGGGCAGGGCGGTGACTGACCTCTCTGACATGTGCAAGCAGGAATTGGGAAGGTGGGGATGAGGTTCCTGGCCTCTCAGCAACAGAATCTGGAGCCTGGGCATGCGGCAGGTCCATACCAGGACCCAGGCCCTGCCACTGTCACCACCCTGCAAATCCTCTCTATGCTCTCAGAAGGCAGCCAACGGGATGGGGTTCCATGCTCTCCTCAACTGCAGATGTCTGTTCCCACGGGAGGAGGGTGGGCACTCTGATCCTTCAGGGCTTCCCCACGCCACAAAACAGATTGTCACACATGTCACGATGACTATGGTGACATCACAGTGCTTTCAGGGACTACCCATAGAACACAGAAGCCCTGGCCTCAGGGAACAAAAGCTTCCCAGATAGATTCTTTCACTAGACTGACTCCCTGTCAAACAGAATTCCCTTGCTGTATTTTTCATATAAAGTCACAGGCCTCGCTGTTTATGCCCAGCTCTATGTTCTGTTTTAGAAATAAACCATCTCAAGGCATTTCTTCTAGCTTATAGCTTCTAGCTTGTTATCCTCACAACCTTGGGCAGCCTTGCATAGGTCTCTGGATTTTTGGATGCATTTTTAAATGGAGAATAGATCCTACGCCTCAAGCTTGACAGTTGTATTTGACTTTATTTTTGAGTTGGAAGTAGGAGCAGTTTTGGTGTGAAGCTTTCTAATTCATGGCACTAGTAGCAGGATATACAGCATTACCCTTCTTGGTTGGGTGTGCTACCTGTCCCTGCGCCTGTCAGGACTGCGGGACCTCCTCTGGGATCGGCTCCTTGCCGCCCGTGATTCCCGGGAGGAACCCCCTCGTTCTCGCTGGCGGCGCTCGCTCCTCTCTGAGCGGACTGGGGCATCCTGTTCAGGCCTTTCAGCGTGGTCCTCATCACTAGAGGTGTCAGTAGACGCGTCTTCAGCCCAACTCTGCTGCTGGCTCCTGCTGCTCGAGGAGTCGTAGTCCTGGGCGTGCTGACCCCTGCTGTGGCTCCTGTGGTGCCGCCTCGGGGACCTGCTTCGTTCCCTCTCTCGGGTCCTGGCGCGGCCAGTGCCACGCTCCCTGCTGGAAGAGCTGCGCTGCTGGCGGCCTGTGAAGCGGTTCCGCCTCCTTCCTGCAGAGCCGCGACGAGCTCTCTGTGCTCGATTAGGCCTGTCAAACCTAATATAGTACACCTCGTAATTGTTGTCTGCCACCTTGCGGAAGAGGTACTGGAAAGGCTCCTGGCAATTTGGGCAAACAGGTCTGATGCAAGACCATTCTAGTATGCAAGAAAAGCAGAAAGTATGTCTGCACCAGCTCACAGAGACTTGGTCCTTAATGATGTCCAGGCAGATTGGGCACTCAGAACCACGTGGAGGCACAGCCTGGGGCACCTGGTTGGTGCTGGCAGCAGGGGAAGAGGTGCCATCTCCTGGTGAGACCTCCTCTGCCATCTGGCTCTGCAAACCAAAGAGACACAAAGCTCCTGACCTGCCCTGGAGACACAATCCAGAGATGCAGTCTGCAGAAAGCAGCCAAGCTGCCCCAGTCGAGCGCTAAACAGCTCCCGCTCGACCTCGGGGCTGTGCTTGGGGTGCTACAAGTACCAAGGACTATCCTGAGGCAGATGAGTGACACCAGAGGTGTCTTTGCATGTGACAGGTCTTGGGGCAGGGCGGTGACTGACCTCTCTGACATGTGCAAGCAGGAATTGGGAAGGTGGGAAAGCAGTTCCTGGCCCCTCAACAACAGCAGTCAGAGCCTGTGTGTGCAGGAGTTGGGACCAGCTCCCCAGGCCCTGCCACTATTGCCCCTCGGCAAATCTTTTTATCCGTTAGAAGGCAGCCAACAGGACGGAAGTCCATACTCTGATCAACTGCAGATGTCTGTTCCCATGGGAGGAGGGCAGGCACTCTGGGCCTTCAGGGCTGCCCCACACCACGGATTGATGTCACATGTGTCACAATGACCCTGTGGCGACATCAGAGAGCTTTCAGGAATCACACCCAGAAGGCACAATGATTGACATCACACGTCATAGTGATTTTCTGGTGACACCACAGGGCTTTCAGAGATTACCGATAGAACAGAGAAGCCCTGGCCTCAGGGAACAAAAGCTGCTCAGATAGCTCATCTCACTAGACTGCCTTGTTGTCAAGCAGAATTTCCTTGCTGTATTTTTTTTATAAAGTCACAGGCCTCACCCTTCATGTCCAGAACTGTTTTGTTCCAAATAAGTCATCTCAAGGCATTTCTTACTCTACCAACTTTCCAGGTCTGATCCAAGTCCCTCCATTCAGCACTGGGGAGGCTGCACCAGGAGTACTCTGTCCAGTCTTGGGTTCCCCAGCACAAGAGAGGTGGACATACTGGAGAGCATCCAGCAAAGGTCCACAAGGATGATGAAGGGACTACAGCATCTCTCCTATTAGGAGATGTGAAAAGTGCTGTCTCCAGGCTGTTCAACCTGGAGAAGACTCCAGAGGGGATCACTTTTCAGGGTATATGAATACCTGAAGGGAGGGCAGAGCAAAGACCGAGCCAGGTTCTTGTCAGGCATGCTCAGTGACAACAGGCGCAAAGCAAAACACAACAAAGCTAAAAGCTTCCCTCTGAACATCAGGAAACCTTTTTTTGCTGTGAGGGTGACTGAGCACTGGCAGAGGTTGCCCAGGGTGCTCATGGAATCTCTCTCCTTGGAGATACTCAAAAGCAGTGTGGCTGTGGTCCTTGGGCACCATCTCTGCTTGAGCAGGGGAGGTTGGACCTGATGACCTCTGGAGGTCCTTTTGCACATCAGGCATTCTATGATTTTGTGACTCAGAGCACACTTGTGCAGCTAAGGAAGCGTGTCTGGGTTACCTGATGTGGGAAGATTTGAATGTTTCTGTATGTTCATGAAGAATCAGGTTTGCCTTGTGAAAGTTGATCATCCATGAAGTTGACACATCTTTTTTTTTTACTTCGGGGGCTTTATCAGTTATTGCACAGAAGACCAACAAGCAAAACAAAAATATGAGGACAGTATAGAGTTAAACATCTCCCTAAAGGTATTGGTTCTGTTTTCATACCATGTGTTGCATGTGACCCATCAGGTCACAATTTACAACTAATGCAACTTGCTGCATGTCAGTGCTGTGAGTGAGCAAGTGAGCAAGCTTGATCCTGATCTGAATTCCTTGCTGCAGCATCCTAACATTCTGCTCTGTGGTAGTCCTAGTCATGGAGTGACGAAAGGAGTGTACAGAGTAGAGGATGACTGTAGTTCAGTACAAAAATTGAACACAGTTTATCTTGGTACAGTAATTAATTTTTTTGATCACCTCTATCTTTTGACAAAACTCCTCTTCATACCAGTTTTACTTGAAAGTAACAATCTGCAAGATTCCCATTAAGGCTGTTGAAACCCTATTTCCACACATTTCAAAATTAGACCCTGTGCCATCAAATATAAAGGCCAGGAAAAAGTGCTATTTAATCCTTCACGGTCCCTCAAATAAGTGGAACTATCAATGCAGATTAATGTCTCTGCAATTAAACCTGCTTATTCACCATTCTTAAGTACATTTTACATAGGATGGTTATCATGGTTGCATGCAGTGACCCTCACCTCTCCCAAACAATTAAGGAGAGATGAGACTGGTGTCCTGGGGACAGCATTAGGAGTACTGAAGAGCATGAATGCTAAAGTCCTAGGAAACAAAAATAAAGTTAGTACCAAGTGATTTATACCAATTGGATTGCAGGAACTAACCAGTTGCTCTCATCAGATGTATTACCTCAATGGGAAAGGATTGATGAAAAGGATCATCAATTAATAGTGAGAACTCTAGGTGCAGCCCATACAAATACCTCTTAGTTGTATTCAAGCTCAATTGAGGATACAACTTGCTGCAGCAACAATTGTAAGGGAAGACAGTGGGGGTATCTTGGCCACTGAAATTCATAAAGTAATCTGGAATAATGCAAATAAATTTGAAAGAAAATTTCAATCTTGGTGGCATCTTCACTTACGACCCTACCAAGTAAAACTTTTGTTTTAACAATATGCAATGCTTCGTTATATATCACATAGCCTGTCATTGCACTGGGGTTAAATCACCACAGAATTATACTCTATCCTATATAACACAAAATTATGGGTTCAACAAAATGGGAACAAATAGCAGACTGTCAATATTGATGCATGCATTGCATGGGAAAAACGGGGATTTATCTGTGAAAGTAACACCATTAGGGTGAACAAAATGTTTCTCAGTTCAAAATACATCCTGATGAAATCCTTGAACCTATGCTTATACATGTTGGAAAGGGATGTATGAGAACTATTTTTGATTCCATACTTAGAGAAAACATCACTATAGAAATAAGCAAACATCTGCATTTGTGCTTTTAGTCAAATTAGGGGCTTCTGTCACAACCCATGAATTTCTACAATCTAGCTACACATCCTGTCAAGATTTACTGCCCACCCCCACTGGAATGAACCTTCCGCTGGTGAAAAAAATTACTGCAGCACAACCACCTGTGTCGACTGCTGGACCGCATACGAAACAGTGGACAAAGAATTCTAATCACCATTCATCACAATGCAGAAGAGATACACCACGGCTTGGAAAGAATAAACCTCAGTGGTGGGACATTTTTTTCATGTGGTTACCACAAACAGTAGGAATTCTAAATCTAATGCTGCATTGTATTGGAATTTTCCTGATTTATGTCATGTTACGCTTATTGTTGAATATTGTTCTATATCTTAGAGTGTGCATATTAGCATTGTCACACAGATCTTTTCAGGTATACATAAAAAAAAAATCAGTTAACCTGATCAATTTCCCTCGATTTATAATTGCAGCATAATGTATCTCTGTTAAAAGCATAGAGGCAAATTGGTGACCACGCCATCACTCTGGAACAAGAGAGATAACTTCAATCACAGGGTGGATTGTGGTGATACTGGAGGTAGTGGAAACAGGTCCCTTGTTGAGGTGACAGACGAATCCCTACTGGCCTCCTTTGCCTTCCCAGGGGCCCTTAAACAAGAGGTATGAGGCTCTGGAACTTGAGGGACAGGCAAATGACAGTGTAGATGAAGATCCATCCTGGGGGTTGGCTAGGGCCAGTCAGTGAACCCCACACATTAAAACTGCCTCAAGTTCAGTTTTCACCAAAGTCAAACTTCTAGTAGCAAAAATTACTTTTTTGTTTTCTTTGTAATTCCATGACGTTAGGGCGAGCAGGAGGCACTGCTCTGCAAGTTTAAAAGCCCACTAAAAAGTTTACAGTTTTTATACCCCAAATCCATATTGTCTAATTAGCATCCTCTATCACACAACATATTCAAATCCTATGCTTCCAATAATCACCTCCAGAAGAATGAAATTTCAGTATTTGGTCCCCAAGAAAGGTGTTACAGATAGGCATTACGTAGTTTCCTTTTTTCTTTTGTTAAATTAAAGCAATATTTTAAATATCCTGAATATAAATTTTGTTTGCCTCTTTTACTAAAAGGTCTGAAGGAAAAGCAGGAGATGGTCTTATTTCCTTAGCAACAGAGTCAGGTGTGATTTATGCCACTGTATGTTCCTGCAGCTGTCTCCAAGCAACAAAACAAACTGCAGTGCCAACTCTTGTAGGCACAATATATGGAGAGGGCTGAGGGAAAACTTTGGAGTCTGAATATCTATCCCTGGCATCAAAGAAGAGGCAAGACTGAACAGACATGGGTTTTTCATAGAAATAAATAAATAATCTAAGCATATCAGTTCAGCCTGCCAAATCCTCAGCATGCAAAGAATAATCTACTTTAAATCACTCAGTTTAGAAGACAGCTGTAGATGTCTTAACACTTTACCAAGGCTTTGCCTTAGCTTATGAAAGTGGTACCACTCTGTCTCCTGTCTCTGAGCTCAGAGAAATCTACTCAGAGTCTCTGGCAGTTCTTGCAGAAAATGGAGTAATTGCATAGAAGAAAAATCAGTAATAATTTACTGTTAAAGTAGTTGCCAGAATTTGCCAAACTTAATTTGCCATTTCAAAGCTATTTCCTCTTTGAAGTAAAGAGGCTTGCATCTATGATTGTATCATGTTGGCAAACACTGTGTTTCTAAATAACAACTGTAAATCTAGGGAGGCTTGCCAAATACAATCATGACAGATAGCGATATTTTCCTGAAAAAAATTTACAGGTTTTTTTAAGGTGAAATTTGCTTTGGAAGCTGAGATATTATGAGCGAAAGCTGCTGTTTATGCATCAGCCTCCCCAAGGCAATGCTTTTTAGGTGCTTTTCAGGTGCAGAGCTAAGACCTGTGGGTGAAAGCAAGAAAGCAAGCAACCACTTGCTTGTGTCAACATTTTGTCTCCACTACTATCTTAGTCTTACTGGAAATTCATAAAACCTCTGAGATGCTGGGATCTCAGTCGCCACCCACTGATGCTGGAACCAATGTACCATTGTTTCACACTTCTGAGCACATGCTGTCCATGCCAGCCTTGATGCAGAGCAGGCAGAGAGCATCACCTCTCCCTGGCAATTCCCTGACACATCAGCATCAGCATGAACTTGGTGTGTTTTCTTTCAGTCTGTGTCAAATGGAAAACACCCGCAGGCCAGGGTCTCCCCCTCTTGTGGCCTGGGTGTAACACCGGCATCTACAGCTTCCATTGTCAGTAAGCAGAGGAAAAACTTTTAAAAGACCAGTAGACCAGCCCTCATTTTTAGGGATCAGCTTCAAATGGCAACAATGATGTGGCTGCATGAAGATCTCTTCAGAGCCGGGTCACTAGGACTAGATTTGTATCTCTACTCCTGGCTGCACTGGTCAGGGTTTATCCCAGCCCACAGTTAACCACAATTCCTGCTTTTTCCAGACAGAAATCAATTTACCACCATCCGTCAAACTTTCAAGGTTTCAATTCCTGGGCTTCTACCTAAGCAGTTGTACTCTGAAGTCAACCTGCCTAATTTCAGCACATTAGGCAATACCCTCCTTGCCTTGTACTTGTGAAGACTGCTTGATTGTTTTGGTGTTTTTTTTTTTCACTTGTGTATGTTTATGCCAAATGGTTTCCTCCTCCATTTCATTTTTGGTTTTTTTTTTTCTTTTGGTTGGTTGGTTGGTTGATTTTTTGGGTTTTTTTCCATTGTTTTTGGGCCTCATCCTTTTCGAAAAGTAACAACAGAGTCCTAATGCAGGGCTTTTCTGTTTATTAGACCATCGACCTTTACCTCATGTATTTGTACTGAATTTAAAAGTCATATTTCTATGACCTTCTCTACAAGAGCTCTCACTGAAGTCTTTTCACAATACTCTACCAAAATTCTCATCAGCTGGTGGCTGTTCCTTAATTTAAAAAGAGCCTAAAACTGTAATGCATAATGTTGATTTTTTTAAGTAACATTTTGACCTGAAATGATAAATTCCTGCAGTAGTATAACCCTGGATTTATGCTCAATATTGTGTGAAAAACAACTTTAGGCTTTGCGCATATAAACTCCCATTGACACTGCTTCTGTAGATCAGATCTCACTGCAATTTTCAATTTTAAAAAGTAAATACACAAGATCTTTTAGACCCGATGCAGTACCAAAATCAGGCTTGTTTTTCCAGTTGTTTTTTTTTTACCCAACATAACCAAACACATAATTTTACATCGAAAAGGAATCTCTCAGAGCTTTGGGAAACGCTAACTGCCCCTATGGCTACAAAATAGTTAGGATGAGTCTAGTTTCTTTTATAAGCTACGAAGGAACTTTAACCATGGAAATAGTATCACCAGGTTTGTGGGACTACCTGCATGTCTGGTTCTATCAACAAGCTGAAATAACTTTTTCCTTAATTTGGGATGCAAATTCTGATTCAGTTTTATGGCATACACCTGTCTTCTACTCCTACACTGCTTACCCTGTAAAATGGCACAAGATACTAAAATTGAGAAACTGATTCTCTACTGGAAACTCAAGGAAAGGCTTTCTGGGTCTCACAGAGACCCAAAGAGCCTCTAGATACTTCTAGAAAAATATAAATGTCCCTCTTCTCACATACATGGATTTGAATGAGGTTTTCTGGTATAAAACCTCTGCAAAAGGAGAACCAGACCTGTGGAAAATGCAAATGCATTTTGGTTGTTTTAATATTCACCTGCTTCTTATTTTTATCTGTAATTTTACACAATTTTATATACTTTTAATATGAAGTTTGAAATTATCACAGTGGAAATATAACTCTCTTTTATGCTTTCCTGGGATTGCAGCCTCTTATACTTGAAAGAATGAAAAAAATGCTTCAAGGCACACAATTTTTTATTTTTTTTTACTTCGATAATCTCTCCTGCAGGAACATTTAAAGGATGAGCTAAAAGTGTCAAAAGTTTTATTATTCATCAGCAGACTATCCTTTTCATTAGCCATTATGCCTCATGTGCACTTGTTTGCTTCTAGGAAGTTCATTTTATATGGCATGCCTTTGGTTTTGTTCATTATTTTAATTGAAATAAGCACCCAACAGTTGTTAGAGCTAAGGTTTTACCTTAATCTTATACCCTTTAGCTTGTTCATAAATACCAATTTCTTCAGTGTCCTAGTGAGGCTGCTCATGGATTTTCAGTCTATGCTTAGTGCTGCATAGAGAGCAGTCAGACTATGGGATAATAGAAGACAGATTTCTACACTGGTCTAGTAGAACTAATTAAATTTGGAGGTGAAACGGGCTGTCAGCAAGCCTGCGTGTCACAGTTCCCTTGGAAGAGTTGGAGGTAGTCTTTTCCATTAAATCACTGCAATACCACTCCATTTCTAGGAGTAAGTTGATGCAAAACAGTAATAATTAAATCCACCACCTGAGAAGCCTGGGAGGAAGATGAATTTAATGCAAACCCAGACACAGCCACGGGGTTTGTATGGAAATTGTGCCCTCAGGGCTGGACAGCAGCATCTGGGGACCCAAACACTGGCCAGCAACTTCAGGTTGGTGGGTGCCCACTCTAAAAGGACATTCTCCATAAATCCTGCCCTCTCTCCTCGAAACTCCTGAAATGAACTTAAGGTCCACCAGACACTCTCCTCTCCCCATTAATCCAGAAAGCTATGGCTTGTCGTGAGGGGAGAGGTCAAGAGAGGAGCACAGTCCTATGTCCCCTCTCTTCATTGGACCAAAAAGGTTAAATGGGATGATGGCGGACAAGCGCCTTCCCTCCTGGAATGACTCTACACTTCAGGAAAGAAACAGTGAACAGACTTTGCTTCTGAACCCTTTCGAGGCAGCTCAACATTGAAGTCTTTATGTCCCAAAATCTACACTTTCTGCTTTTCCTTCCTTTCTTATTGTCATAGAAATGAAAAAGCATCAGTGAAATGTCTATGCTTGACATTTTTGAGGTGAGTTTCAAGCTCTTCCAGCAGCACTGAAGTATGTATCTGGAAGTTTGGGGTTTTTTGATTGGTTGGCTGGTTTTTTTTTCCCTATTCTTTTCCTTTGACTTCCATTGAACTGTGTTGCACATTTGCAAATTTCTCTCAATGACATACATGTCCTTTCCTGAACATTTTTCTCCAGTCTATGTGACTTGAAAAAATGCCTAATGAAGTAGTCTTCTGTGCCTGTACCCTGCATCCTAAACACACGTTAGCCCTAG